ACGACGATTACTGTGGTAAAGAATATACTCTGATATAAAAATATGCACAACTTAAGAGAATAGAAAAAAATAAAATTTGTAAACTGTATAAAACTCGTACAGTAAGTATTAAATAAAATCTTTAGTTGATTTGATTACAACAAAAACTGATGCTCAATAAGCTTTTTTAGACATTCTTTTGTTCATTTTTTAAATATATGCCTTATTAAAACCTATTATATTTTAGTCCAATCTTTTTTTTCAATTTCAGATTCCATTTTTTTTATAGATGGTTTTGGTTTATCAGCGCTAAAGAACCTAAAAAATTTTGTGGCGTCTTGTTTCTTTTTTATGTTTAGAAAATCAAAGGAAGACTTTAATTTGACACTTCTGTAGGCAGAAAAAAAGTAAAAAACGGCGAACCATTTAAGCTAAAAAGTAAAAAACAAAAAAGACATATAGATTAGAAAAATAAAACATGACCTATCTAAAAAAAAGGCATTTATTATCCGTCATCTTCTATGCGACGGTCAAAACCCGAATATATTCTGCACCAGCAAAACAACGGATAAATAGAAATGGGCTTAGTGAGCCATCATTCCTACTCAGTTACGTAGTTCTTTACGAGAACAACTTCAATTTTAGAAGAAAATATTTATGCGTTGTTATGAAAGCTTACGACAAGGATACAGTCTAAACTGTTTTCAGACTGCTTCTGTTGCCGTTAGACATTACCTGACTACCAAAAAGTTCTAATCGATGAAACAAAAACAAAACCCAGCACGGATTAAAGTAAAGTCTTAAAAAAAATGCTCATGAAAAGCGGCACTTTCAGAAGCAAAATCTCAAAAATTTTTAGTCATTTTAGATATAGGTACAGTAGTAACTAAGAGTGTTTCGGTAGACTATCATATAGCGTATAAAATATAGATGATATCTTAAGCACGATTAAGATCAGCTACTTTGTTGATCATATGAAAATCACAACTTCAGCCTCTAAGAGGTGTCAAAATTAATGCTAATATACTGTAGTTTCAAAAAAAAAAAAAACATCAATTTGTACTTTAAGTCTATGATTAATTATTTTGATCAGAGGAAAAGAATGTTTTTATCAACTAACAATCGCCAATGCACCCACAGTTGCAACAAAAGAAAATTAAACGTTTTTTTCAAAAAAAAAAAAAAAGAACCACTTTTTTTTGCTATACTTTAATTTTTTTGCTATACTTTAATCATCCCTTAAAGCTTAGAAGTTTAAAACTGCCTTTTTCTTCATGCGGCATTATGCAGAAACTTCAAATTAAAAGACAGACATTTGAAAAGAAATCGCCCACTTTTTCTCTTCAAATTATTTTTTGGCGGTATAAGAAAGTAAGTACAAAAAAAAAAAAAAAAA